TCGTAATTAGAAAAAGTATTATTAATCTAAACTAACCTAATTCGACTGCTACTAGAAATATATCTCTAAAAGTAAAACAAAATGAGAATACATTGATTGAAACGCCATCTTTGTAATAAGAAAAAGTATTATTAATCTAAACTAATCTAAACTAACCTAATTCGACTGCTACTAAAAATATATCTCTAAAAGTAAAACAAAATGAGAGTATATTGATTGAAACGCCATCTCTGTAATAAGAAAAAGTATTAAACTAATCTAAACTAACCTAATTCGACTGTTGATACTATCTCGAACAACGAGATCGAAAAATTTCGTAGTAGTAAACTTACACGTGCGATTTGGAAACCTTCCAAGGAAGTTCCTTGATAAAATCCGTATATCCTTCACGTCTCTGTCGAAAGCGTCGAACCATGGAATATGAGCAGCGAATGGGGTCAAAGGTTACAGAGGAGATACGAGAACAGTACTCAAATTACCAACCCTTTCCTACCGTTTGACCACTTTACAGCGGCAAAACAGCGATACGGGTTAGCAACGTTGAATAGTTGAAACTAGAGAAGACGAACAATGTCGGAGATTTACGCTCCCCTTGCGATGCTCTCGAGTTATCTTGCGATTTGTGGGATCTAATGGTCTTACGGTTTAATTATTTATTACTTGACGAATAAAGTTTTTGAATGCAAACGTATTTGTCTTTGAATACAAGGTATTACATCTGAGATTTACTTAAGATTAATTATAAATAGATGTAACACTTTGTCATCACGGTATTCAAAGTATTAACTCTTGTAAAAATTTATTAGATGTGGAAATTAATTTTGACTGATTTTGTGAGAGTAGCAATATTAATTTTTGTAAAATATCTTTCTGTTCTCTTTTCCGAAGTATTCTTTTTGAACGAATTATTTTATATAATGTTTTTAAATTATTTTATTCTTCACACTTTTCGTGATAACAATGCATTTTGGAATTTTCGAAACTTCTATATTGTTGATCTTCTGAATTTTATTTTCAATTTTCTTATTTTTCAAATCTTGATGTTCTTCCATTTTTATTATGTTCGAATACACATTGCTATTTCAATTTTTTATATCTCGTTTTTATATTTACTAGATCTCAGAACTATCAGGGTTCCTTTTATACAAATTCCCACATTTTCTACGAATTTGCACATATTTAAATATATTATGAAATGCTTGTATCTCAAAATTTCTACATTTCTGAAATCTTTATATTTTCAAATCTTCAATATACCCTTTCTCTAGTTTCAAAATTCTATAGCTACCAATTTCTTCATTTTACATCTTCTATTTTCTCAAATGTTTACCCATTCAAATATATACTACTTTTCTGAGTAAAAGATGTTAACAATATTTCTATAAATTTTATTTAAATTTTGAAATGTACCTTTAGTTCGACTTGATCACATCACTTTCCATGCATTTCGTATACAATGCTCCACAAGCATTTAATCTTAATTTAATTATTTAGAATTAGTTACTTATATACTCCCACTTTACAAAATGTAACACTAAACCACTTATGACTTGTCGTCACGAAGATTCTTTCAACGGAGAAGAAGAACAGCAATGAAGAATATCTAGCGATAAGGTTAGGGGTTTCTATCGGCCTCCAGCAGTAAAGATGGTTGTAGGCCGGCGGAAACTACTTGCCCTTGTCGCTAAACATCGCCGAAAAACACAGCAAACCCACAATTTCCTCGAATGAACTTTTTCGTCGCACAGAATGACTCGTCTGAATGGTTCAGATATAAATCAAATTGACCGAATTTATATCTGCAGAACAGTTTAATGAAACTATCAGAATGGCATGAAAAAGAAAATCTTTGTTGACTCACGCGAGGATCAAAGAGTACTTTAACATCTGAATTGATTGTATACCTTTGGGGATTTGATCGAATTCCCACTTTCATCATCTTGCGATGTTATAATGTATAAAATATATAAAATGTGTATTTAATATAGAACACCTGATTTTTTGAATTTACCAAAAACAAACCTTATTAAAATTGTTAACAAAATTATTATAATATTAATTTAACATATGACATAATGTAACATAACATTAAATATGACATTACACATTTCTATCATGGCAGTCTATGTATCCTAACTATACCATTTTGTCAACCTAACCTATATTTTTGACAACCTAACGACCTGAAATTCACAACTTAATAAAATAAAATCCAAAAGTACACCCCGTTTTCATAAAGCGTATAAATACCTCCCAGAATAATTTACATAATCCATGAACAGTCCATAAACGCCTGAGCAGCCAGGAAAATGCGTAACTTTGTATGAAAATGGCGGCGTGACTCCCACGCAGCAGAACCGTAAAACGGTTAAGCAAAATGCAGATAAATTCGTCTAACGATAAAAGTTTATGTCGTATCGAAACAAAGCTTTCAGCCTAACAGACAGTTGCCCCTTTTGTAACATTCTTTTTCTTGTGTTGAGTGAAATAAAGCTCGGTCACGGTACGCTCGTCGTTACAAGGACGTAGACCTCTTTCGTGAGGGAACGACTCTCGTGAAAAAGAGGAGGAAAAGAATGACCAGAAAGCGAAAGAAAATCCTGTTCAGATTGTGACACCTTAAATCGTTTGAAACTGTAGTTGAACTGTCAAACTTCGAAACAAATGTTACTTGAACGGACAGCTTAACATGTTCATAAACGTTTCAGATTGTAAAAAGTGTGCTACGTGGTAAAGGTACTTATTAGAAACCTTCCTTAAAGAGAAATTTTTTATTTTATTAAATATACTAGGTTAGAAACTTTAAAACGTTAAAGTGAGATATTAAGATATATTTAATATTTTAAAAATTGTTATTGAAGTGATGAGAATGATTATAGGGTTACAATCGAGAGAAGCTTATTTTGAGCAGCCACATCACTGCAGATACTAATATCTCGAATTTTTCGCGCAATAAAGTTGTAAATAAGAAATCAATTTTTGTTCCAGTGTCAACAGGAGTGCAGAGACAACCATGAGTCGCCTCGCAGCAGCAGCAAAGACACCGCGACCGAAACTGTGTTGTCCTCGGGGCAAACCGAGAAGATTGCTATCGACAGCAGCACAGAATCACCCACTGAATGGAACTCGAGAAATAGTTCCTTGAAGAAACAGGAAAGCGCTCCCAACCGTGATACAAATTTTGTCCTTGAAAAGGTCGCTGAATTTCATAAGGTAAATCTGGCAAGCAGATCGAGTTTTCTTATTATAAAGAAATCTGGCGGTTTGGGAGATCAAACCATAAATGAGGATAAATCTGATTATACATTCAATAATACTTAACACTTAACGGGTTGTTTGATTGTTTTTTAGGGGTTGTTTCTTCGTCTTTTTAATTTCTGTGCATTTTTTGGAAGAATTAAATAAACATATGTGTATGGTTTGTGTACATGTGTGCACATATGTGTGCTGTGGTTTTATTAAATCAACATTGTTTTTGATTAAATTTTACGAACCTGTTTATTTATGGGTCTAGTATTTTTTTGAGGATGTAATACACAGTTACTACTAGCTCTGTGTATTAAAATATACATAATTTATTAGACATAAATTCTCAGTATATCAAAAAACATACTCAGTATGTTGATATAGTTAAATCGAGAAGCTGAGCCAACAGAAAAATGAGTCCTAATTTTATAAAAGTTCGTCTTCCGAACTTGAATATTTGTTGAAATTAAATTGAAATCGTGTTACAGGTCCAAATTATTTCGACCCGAAAAAAAACGTGCACAAGTTTCAAATAAAATTACAGCAAACTTAACGCTGATTTAAATTTCATCTATCTTCCACTCTCCGTTTATATTTTAGCTTGAGCTAAGATAAAAAGCGCAGAATGTTAAAATTAAGTTTGCAAGTTATATCCCTTTTACCCGGTCGGATGTAATTAGGTCAGAAAATGGACTTTGTTATGTACGAAAATAATCAAAATAAAAACTTTGGGAGATAAAATCAAGGAATACCTGTGTAGACGTTTATGATCTACCTTACCTTCTTTATTACGGGGTCTTTTTATTACTGTTATACAGAAATGATTTATGAGAAATTTATTTGTAAATAACCTTAGTTGGCGAGAAGGCAACGTAAAAATTTTTAAATTGCGCTTAAAAATGCAAAAGGGGTAGTAATTTTCTATAATTAAATTTTTATGTTCATTGTATATTAATGTGAATTAATATTCTTACATTCATAAAATATTAATACTTCCAAATTTTTAGCAAATTCTTTAAATTGTAGATTATGTACTCAATTATAAATAGTACATAATTTATATTCTAACCTATTCAAAGCACTATGCGTAGCGTCACATCGGTAACACAAGATGGCGCCAAATCCTTTACGAAAAAGAAAGAATTTATAAATTGTCAAACAAGTAGAATTACGCATATAATTTAACTAAAATTTTAACTAAGAATGAAATAAAATAATGGTTGAATTTGCCAAAAGTTGCACATGATTTTCTTTCTTCGTTACAAAATATTTTAATTGACATGTCTTCAGAGACACATTAATTTATGCTGCACTGTTCACAAATAAATTCTCCGCGAAGCAGGTTTATTCGATGAATTATAGAGGCCAAGAATGTTCAAAGTATCATGCAAAATTCATAGAGTACCAAAATATTTTTAAATATTCATGAAATTATCGTATTTCTGTCTAGCACCGACATGCTCGAGGCAGAGACGCGACAACTGGTTCGCTTCATCGTACACTGAGTATTCATACGACCGCAATCGAGCAAACTTATATGGCCGAAGAATGTGACGAAAACGACTATCATCTCGATCTCGATTCCTACAAACCGGTGCAACCCATTTCGTTCGACCATGGAGTTGCATTGTTTCCTGTTGCTGCACCGCATTCTGGAATGGATCTGCATCTGCTGCAGGTAAATAGTTATATAATTTACGGGTAGTATAGGCACTCGTGCACTTTCAATTAATAATTGAATTCACGATCGGGACCGAAGTAAACCTGCACCGCAAACCAGTTTACCAATCGATTTTACCCTATGTACCGTAAGGGATGTGTACCTCGTATTTTGGAAAGTTTAACACTCACAAGTTCTGGATTCCTCAATTTTACAAATTTTTAAGTTGCAATCTTCTAAATTTTCAAATTATTAAGATTTAAAACTCCTACGTTGTCAAATTTTCAAGTTCTCCAGTCTTCAAATTTCCCAATTTTCAAATTACCAGAGTTGTAACTTTAAAAATTTCTTAAATTTCCACACAAGTGTTCTAACACTTGAATCAATAGATAATTTGTAATTTTTAATAAAACGAAATAAGGTTGAAGTAACGAGAAACCCCTACAATTACGTTATTGCACCGATAACGTTGCGTTCCCAATTAAAGCGAGCATTATCGTGCAATTTCTCGGAACGAAAACGATTGCACGCATCGTCGGAATTTCTATCACGTACAGCGAAGTTTGTACGGATACAGCTATGATTCAAACCTTGAAAAGGAGCGTACATAAAGACACGACCTTACCCTCGGATGATTTCGAAATATTAATATCCTAGCATAGCGTCCAGCTACCTTCATAGTTGCTGTCCGTGCCACGGTGCTAAGATAAAAGACATCGTCAGTGTAGTTTTCCTGCACTTCAAAAGGATTTCAAAGAGCCAACCTTAGCATGCTACTTTAGGTATATTTCGTGAAAATTCGCGAGAAAAAGGGAGAGAGGCAGAGATCGGGTAGCAAGCTTTGGAAGCTGGAGGGAAATGAAAAGGATTAAAGCTGGAAGACGTCGAAGAAAGAGGTTAGGAAAAGCAGGTCACCCTTTAGAATAAAGTGTTGTTTTATTAATTGGTTACTTGTAACTTTGAGGAGGAGAGTTAAACATTCGAATACTCAATGATTTATAAAAATTAAAATTATAATGTTCATTGGTTGTTTTTAATACATTTTATGTTAGAGGAAAATGTTTGTTCAAATATTTGATTTGTTTGATGCAAACGATCACAAAAATTCAACTTAAATAATAAAAATACACAGAATTATTTAATTCATTATGAAATTATTTTTATTAATTTTAGTAACTTTGAAAAGACTATAAATGAGTAATTGTCAGAAGTCCACATATGAGTAACTTTCATCAAAATAAAGTGGAACTAAACGTTCTACCGATCCGATGAATGCTGCCATGTTTGTTCTTAGCATCGTAAGTCGTTATGGAAGATGGCGTCCGGGATTTCGTTACCTTACGATGAAATGCGAGATGCCTTTTTAAAATTCCATATCCGCCATCGTTCTATCCGAAATGACGGGAAGTCGATACGTTCTTATACTTTTAGCATCCACTTGCCCAGATCTATATCGTGAATGATAGATCTTCTGTTCGGAGGTTCTTGAAATTTTATCGGTACAAATTCCGTTACAAATCTGTACTTGTCTTCGGTGGAATCACCGAGTATCAACTGTCTTCCTCTCGTGCAATTTTTATTTACTTCGTTCTCATAAATATAAATATGTATAATTAACTGTAATATCAAATATAATAAATATTTTAATGTAAAATTAAAAGAAGATATGGTTTTTGAGTCTTTTACAATGAAAAATGTTTTTACACTTTCGCATAAAAAATTTATTATTTTCATAAAAAAACGTTCATTATTTTCACAGAAAAACACGGACCATTTTTCAGAGAAAAATTCAATTACAGTTGTTTATTAAACAAAAATACACCCAATGTACGTGACAGTCGTATAATTTTACTTTGAAACAAGCTTTAACCAGAGAATATACTATGAAAACGTGTGAACGCAGAAGCAGCAATAATCCTTCTAATTAATAATATAAATCATTTGAACTATGTAGCTTCTTGTGAATTACGCTTTATCGATATTTGCGAACGACGGAAGGTGTTAAGATCTTCAATGTAGCATGACAGGCACTGTTTGCATCAAAGGAGAAATTAGCGTTAGATACCTTTAAGGAATCAACGTTGCCTTTAAACATTGTGCGCACAGTGTTAATAATTTTGCGTTAATGTGCTAACCTTTAATAACTTTCGTGTCATTATGGAGTCTTTAGCGTAGTCTGATAAATGGGCGGCTATTTCACTACGGTATAAATCAAGTTTTATGAAATTTTTCGTGACGCTTTTAAGAAAGAAAAATAAAATGAAATTACTATGAAAAGTTTTCATTAAAAATGAAAAACACTGTAAGATCAAACATTCTTCAAAATACTAAATACACAAAAAATGTAATTCTATCAAAAAATAATTAAAATTGTTTTAATAATTAATATTACTGTTACACTATTTCTGTGAGTAGTACTAAAAGTAGTATTACTATATGATGTATTTCTTCAGTAACATTCTTAACTCTACAGGTGTTTACATCACCACTTCCACAAGTATACATAAATGAAAAACCATCCACCATAAATACTTCTGTGGCCACAAACTTCATGAAAATATTTCATACTCGTAAAAACATTTCAAATAATCCTGCTTACACTTCAATTTTTAAGAATTTTCTGAATAACTAAACTATTAACTCATTTAATTCTCTATGTTTTGAAATATACTGGTACATTATTCACTTCGGTGTACGTTTCCGCGCATGTATCAGCAGAGAAAACCTAACAGTGACCACAAACGGTGCATCTACCCCACACGCAGTACCAATATATCGCTGAAGCAATTAAAGACGTATGTACATGCACCGAAACACGTGTATCAGACTGCGTTAGTGGCTCTTTAATAATGTAATGTAAAGCTATCTTTACTCTTTCATAACGGTAGTCAAAGTGGCGTGTACGGAAATGCAGTAAAGCATGCATAAAGCAGACGAGTGATTGCACGTACACTCGGGTGCAACGCGGGCTTCCGTTGAATATATGCACACGTGTAAACTTCACAATTTTTAGTCAATGTTTAAATTTATAATTGGTAATGTTAATAGCGTTGATTATAAATTTTATGAGATTAAATTATTCATAAGTTTTTGTACTTTTATGTTTGTCAAATTTGCAAATTCTGAAAATTCTCAAATATAAAAATTGTTAAACACATGTATGAAATTTTAGGTACTTAGAGTTCTAAGAAATTCAAATCTCTCTAGATTTCTCAGTACACGAATTCAAATTTTCCTAGATTCCTTCGTACAAGAAATTCAAAACTTCCTATGTTTCTAAGGATACACATTCCATGCTTCTAAATTTTTAAGTTGCCAGGTTTCTGAACGCATTAAGTCTAAACTTCTGCTTACACAAAACCCCAAATTTCACCAAAATCCCAAATTTCCCAAATTTCCAAAATTCCCAAATTTTCCAAATTTCCCAAATTTCCCAAATTTCCCAAATTTCCCAATTTCCCAAATTTCCCATATTCCTAAATTCCCAAATTCCCAAATTCTCAAATTCCCAAATCCCCAAATTCTCAAATTCTCGAATTTCCAAATTCCCAAATTCTCAAATTCTCAAATTCTCAAATTCCCAAATTCCCAAATTCTCAAATTTCCAAAATTCCACAAATTTCCCAAATTCTCCAAATCCCCAAATCTCCCAAATTTTCCAAAATCCCAAATTTCCCAAATGTCCAAATTTAAAAACTCCCAAATTCTCAAATCCTCAAATTCCCAAATTCCCAAATTCTCGAATTTCCAAAATTCCCAAATTTCCCAAATTTTCCAAATCCCCAAATCTCCCAAATTTTCCAAAATCCCAAATTTCCCAAATGTCCAAATTTAAAAACTCCCAAATTCTCAAATCCTCAAATTCCCAAATTCCCAAATTCCCAAATTCCCAAATTCCCAAATTCCCAAATTCCCAAATTCCCAAATTCCCAAATTCCCAAATTCCCAAATTCCCAAATTCCCAAATTCCCAAATTCCCAAATTCCCAAATTCCCAAATTCCCAAATTCCCAAATTCCCAAATTCCCAAATTCCCAAATTCCCAAATTCCCAAATTCCCAAATTCCCAAATTCCCAAATTCCCAAATTCCCAAATTCCCAAATTCCCAAATTCCCAAATTCCCAAATTCCCAAATTCCCAAATTCCCAAATTCCCAAATTCCCAAATTCCCAAATTCCCAAATTCCCAAATTCCCAAATTCCCAAATTCCCAAATTCCCAAATTCCCAAATTCCCAAATTCCCAAATTCCCAAATTCCCAAATTCCCAAATTCCCAAATTCCCAAATTCCCAAATTCCCAAATTCCCAAATTCCCAAATTCCCAAATTCCCAAATTCCCAAATTCCCAAATTCCCAAATTCCCAAATTCCCAAATTCCCAAATTCCCAAATTCCCAAATTCCCAAATTCCCAAATTCCCAAATTCCCAAATTCCCAAATTCCCAAATTCCCAAATTCCCAAATTCCCAAATTCCCAAATTCCCAAATTCCCAAATTCCCAAATTCCCAAATTCCCAAATTCCCAAATTCCCAAATTCCCAAATTCCCAAATTCCCAAATTCCCAAATTCCCAAATTCCCAAATTCCCAAATTCCCAAATTCCCAAATTCCCAAATTCCCAAATTCCCAAATTCCCAAATTCCCAAATTCCCAAATTCCCAAATTCCCAAATTCCCAAATTCCCAAATTCCCAAATTCCCAAATTCCCAAATTCCCAAATTCCCAAATTCCCAAATTCCCAAATTCCCAAATTCCCAAATTCCCAAATTCCCAAATTCCCAAATTCCCAAATTCCCAAATTCCCAAATTCCCAAATTCCCAAATTCCCAAATTCCCAAATTCCCAAATTCCCAAATTCCCAAATTCCCAAATTCCCAAATTCCCAAATTCCCAAATTCCCAAATTCCCAAATTCCCAAATTCCCAAATTCCCAAATTCCCAAATTCCCAAATTCCCAAATTCCCAAATTCCCAAATTCCCAAATTCTCGAATTTCCAAAATTCCCAAATTTCCCAAATTTTCCAAATCCCCAAATCTCCCAAATTTTCCAAAATCCCAAATTTCCCAAATGTCCAAATTTAAAAACTCCCAAATTCTCAAATCCTCAAATTCCCAAATTCCCAAATTCCCAAAGTCTCGAATTCCCAAATTTCCCAAATTTCCCAAATTCTCCAAATCCCCAAATTTCCCAGAAATCCCAAAATCCCCAATTTCTCAAAAATCCCAAATTTTCCAAAAATCCCCAAAATAAAAATTGTCAACTTCCTAGTTGTTCAATCATACAAATTTCCAACCTCCTACGCAGCTATCACACAAATTCCTAAATTCCTAGATTTTCACATATCCCTACATCCTCAAATAACCCAATTCCTTCCACTCCCAAATTCCCAATTTCCCCATCCCCAAATCTTCAATTTTTCCCCAATAACCTAACCTAACCTAACCCCCTAAAAATCAACGAGAATCAAGTCTCTCCACCTTTACCCTTATTTTCCCTAGAGGAACCAAATTTGTTCCCGACTGTACATCAAACAGGTGAGCGCATCAGTCGCGTTTCGATGCATCAATTAACGTATCAACCTTTCGACAAAGATAAATAATTTCACGCAAATGCCGGTATCGTCAGTTTTATAAACGTTCCCAGAGGCTGCACTTACGATCGCTCGCGTAAACGTGATTCCGAGTGCATTAGAAGTTCCATCAACATTATAAACACAGGCCACGATGTGGGCTACTTTCGACGTGCATTGCGCCGTTGCACGATTTGGCGCACCGCAATTGCACGGACAGAACGATTTTAATGGCCGGAGATTGTAGCCTGCGAAATAGTGTGGCAAGATTTTCACGATTCTTCGTGCTTTTGTTGCGTTTCTCCTCTGCAACGTACGAGGCTGTTTCGAGAAATAACCGAGCTCATTTGTCACTTTTATTGCCGCAATCGAGCAGAGAAAATGGATAATTTTGCTTTGGATGTAATATTGTTGTGGTTGTTATTTATAAAATTTAGGGAGGATTGAGTGGAACTAGTTTTACAGTGGATTTTGGGATTTTTAGTTCGATGGAAGTAGGTCATGACGGTTCAACTTGTAGGTTTGTTGTGTATTGGAAGTGAACTGCGGCAACCCCTTCTGCGTTGTTGGTAATTGACATTTAGTACGCGATTGTACAGAATCATTAACCCTCTATGATTTCTCTTTGTTGTAAGTGAACAAGGATAACAAAGTAAACAACCTCTTTTACATACTTCATAATTGACATTTGCTGCAAAAAATTTACTTTGTCGTACAAAATCATTAGCCCTTTATGATTTCATTGCTCTTTGTTATAACTGAACAAGAATAACAAAGTTAATAACCCCTTCTGCATACTTGATAATTGACATTTGCTGCTAAAAATTTACTTTGTCGTACAAAATCATTAACCCACTATGATTTAATTTCTCTTTGTTATAACTGAACAAAAATAATAGGGTAAACAACCCCTTCTTCATACTTGATAATTGGAATTTTCTGCATTATTTTTCTTTCACACCCACTTTCTTCGTTTTGTGACTGAAGAAAAATGATAGAGTAAAATCAACCCCTTTTGCATATTTTACAACAGGACTTTACTGTATTATCATAGAAATAATTACTCTTCTATGATTTAATGCTTCCTTTTATAGCTTTCAAAAATGAAAGTAAAAACAACCCCTTCTGCATATTTTATTAATATTAATTATTAACCCTCGATGCTTTAGAAGTAACACATATGTCTTCACTCTTTCAAATTATATTATAGATAAAGCTACTAAACTGTGATAATACAACTGTAATAAAATATGTATAATTAAGGATATAAAATTGTAATTAAAGTTGATGCGACGTAAAATCTTAATTAAAGAAAAAATATACAAAACTATAATTAGAAGTATAAAATTTGTAATTAAAAGTATAGGCCTATAATCATACATTTAATAAAAAGGTACAATTACCGAAATAAAGCCAATATTAAACATACAATAAAAAACTGTAATTAAGCTTATAAATCGACAATCGAACATTCGCCAAAAAAGTATGATTAAACGAATAAAGCTATCATTAAACATCCAATAAAGAAGTGCAATCAACAAAATAAAGTTATTATTAAAAACATAACAAAAAGGTGTAATTAAATACAAGCATGTAATCAAAAACAGAACTATATCCTTCGAAAGCAAATACAATTTGTATGCAACCAGCTGCAGCACTCGACGTTGCTATCGAAGCAACGTTGTTTGTGTTAGATCAATAACCGAAACCGACATTCGAATCCTATTGCATGCGATAAATTTGAAACGACAATTTTTATGGAACGTTTCAATCAATCAAGGGACATATAACCACATTGGGGAGGAAAAAAGAGTATTTGAAAGTTGCCATACGTGTGTTAAATGGAGAAATAAAAATTTTTGTCTATTAGACGATGTATCGATGATGACATCTCACTATATCAAACATTCAAATTTGTAGAGTGTTAAATATGATTTTGGGTGCAGATGTTTATTATACACAGTTTTAGGCAATCACAACGGATTGATACTTTGAAACTTGATACTTTTAATTATTTAGAGATGATTTCAAAAATGCTACTTAAGTACGTTTCTGGAAATTGTTTATTGAGGAATTGTTAAATTGTAATGTACCTATATATCGAAATCCGTGAATCCTTAAATCCTTAAGTAAACCCTTAAATCCTCAAAATTATTAAATTCTTAAATTTTTAAATTCTTACATTCGTATATCATTCAATGCCTAGATACATACCTACCTACATACATGCCCACATACATACCTACCTACATACATGCCTACATACATGCCTACATACATGCTTACATACATGCCTACATACATGCCTACCTACATACATGCCTACATACATACCTACCTATATACATCTCTATGTACATACAGTATACATATCAAAATCTATTCCAAAATTGTCATATACCGTAATCCCTATATCCCGAAATTCTCATATCCCAATTACCTATATTCTGCAGTTCTTAAATTCCGAATCCCGATATTCCACAATTCTTATACCCCGAAATCCTCATTTCATCAAATCTCTACTTTCCCAAATTCCAATAACCCGAAATACCTATTTCGCCAAATTGCTATCTTCCCATATCCCTACATCCCGAAATCTCTATATATCCAAATTCCAATATCCCGAAATCCCTATGTCCCAAATTCCCACATTCCGTAAGCTTTATATCCCGAATCCCTATTTCACCAAATCTCAACTTCCCCAAATTCCAATAACTTGAAATCCTTATTTTACCAAATTACTATTATCTCAAATTCCTACATCCCTAAATCTCTACATTCCTACATCCCTATTTCCCCAAATTCCAATCACCTGAAATCCTAATTTAACCAAATTACTATTATCCCAAATTTCTACATCCCGAAATCTCTATATTCCCACATCCCTATTTTCCCAAATCCCAATCACCCGAAATCTTAATTTAACCAAATTATTATTGTCCCAAATTCCTACATCCCGAAATCTCTATATTCCCAGATCCCTATTTTCCCAAATTCCTACCTCCCCAAATCTCTACATTCCCACATCCCTATTTCCCCAAACACCAATCACCCGAAATCCTAATTTAACCAAATTACTATTGTCCCAATTTCCTACATCCCGAAATCTCTATATTCCCACATCCCTATTTTCCCAAATTCCTACCTCCCCAACCCTGAAAATCGCAAAAGTCCACCACCAAATTCTTCCGCCCCTATATTTCTAAATCTTTCTCTAGAAGCTCTAAATTTGGAGCACCCAAAATCCTTGAAAAAAATAACAAGGTCCTCTTCCTCACAGCTTCCTCCTACCCTACTTATCATACTTCCCCTTATCATACTTCTCCGATTTACTCCCAACTGTTCATTACATAACTCCGTATAATATAACGTAAAACATAACTAATCACCATGTTAATTAACAATAATAAAATGTACCAGGTGCTGCATCACGGAACAACATTGGTGCACTGGGACTGCGAAGGGGGTAGGACGGCCTTGGTATTCGCGCGAGTGGATCGTGCATGCGGTACGTTCGTCTGGGAGAAACCGCCCTGGAGTCCTCTGAAGACTGCACAGCTCGGTGGCGCTGCCCTCACAGACTTTTCGTTAACTGCCAATCCAGAGGACACGGTACCAGCCGGTTTAATAGGGAAATACGCGTGTCAACAAGTGGAATGCGCGTCCGTGACGCTGGAAGAAGGATTTCTAGACCTAAGTTCTGTGAAAGAAGTTATGATCGGTTGTTGTGATCGGGACAGAGACGCCGACCTCAGAAGCATTTGCAAGAGGTACGGGCTCCCGGGTTCTGATTCGTGCATCGGCCTCATGTACGGCTCCAGTCTGCCGGATAATCGACTGATCTTTCTCCTTTGCCCTCCTGCTCTTTGCAAGTGAGTAGTATCGATCATTTGTCTACTCAATGCGTTACTAGGTTACTGGGTGCATGTAAAAATCGTGGTACTGAGAATCTCAGCACTGTGAGATGATAATTTTATGCTGTTGTGTGTAATTATGTTGTGTTAGTATCAAGTTTAGCTTTATTTTATGGAATATTTTTGGACATACTTTGCAGCTGTTCATTATGGACAATTTTCAAACTTTTCTGTTTAACATAGTTTGTCAAGATTTATGATTTCACTGTCGATCAAACTTCACCTCATTTTGTAAGGGCGGTTCTTATAACTTGCTCTTAATATTTTTTTAACTAATATAATCAATTATATACAATTGATACAATCATTTTGACTATGTTGCTTGTCCAAACCCAGCAGCATGTCGACCTGCTTTATCTGCTCTAAAATAAGACATGACCTTTTAGTTTCTATTAATTATGATCATAAAATAAAATCTAATCTGTAATATACTTTTAAAATTAATCAGGTCTATTGTCAATTTTAAGATTGATTGATTGATTGATTTTATATGGGTTTCGACTGCTGATCATTGGCCCAGATCAATTTTAGGAGAATGTCTATTTTGTTCTCCGAATTTAATTTCATCATAAATGTTTCTACATCTCTCCAAAGGAGTAGTTATTAATTTTTGAGGCAACCTCTGCTTTTTAAATTGAATACAGAATGCACATTTGAAGAATTGAAAAAAGTTCGCAATATATCACAAGTATTCACATTTAAGTAATTTAAAAGAATTTCCGCAATATTTCACAAGAACTTAAGATTAATATCTCTTGTTGGCTAAGATGCAGTAACAACAGATCACTAAAACGGTACCTACGCCCGTTATTTTCTAGAGAATAAACTGTTACGACAAACCTTTATCCAACAGCGCTATTTCAACCCCCGGGTCGTACAGAGAATAACTGGTTTGTCGAGTTGACGTATATCGTTAACTATGGTAGCATTAAAAATAAAGTTCTACTTATTGGAAAAATTATTTCTACGAGGTAGCTATAGTAAGCTGTTACTGCAATGGACTCGACGGTAAATCTAATACCGGGTGAAGCCGTTATTTTGGTGTTTTAGTTCGAATTTGGTGCGTGAAACTTAGGTTAGGCGATGTGGGAGAAGTGGTATAATCAAATACATATACGTTTAAAATTGGGAAATTATAAAATTTTCAATTTTACTGATTTTCGTATTTTTGAATTTTAAAGCACTATAATTTCTACATTTTCAAATGTAATTTTTTAAATTTAACTTAACTTATCTAATCTGCAAATTATTAAACAGAGAAGAAAATAACGCATATATTGTCTCATATAAGACTAATTTTCTAATCATTATAACAAATACAAAGCTGAATCTTCGCAATCTACACCTACATCTTTATCCTCCTATTCAGTTTATATATTATGATCTTGATGTGTTATTAACCATTTCATTACACACTCAATATCAGTTTAAGAGCCAAATACCCGATCACGCGATGACGCGTGTCCGATGGTAAACTCGTAATCTTTCGCTGCCACACGAAACGTTCATAAATAATCCAGTTTAATTTTTCTTCACTTTAGTAGCATCATTAAAAAATCTTCTATTACTATCTCTTGGTATTTCAATGACTTTTCTTTGCTTTTACTAGAAAAACTTTAAAACGAGAAATCACGTCGATCGGCGGAGACGGCATGACAAATGAACACGCGGTTCTGCTGATCGGCGGAGGTGGCAGCGAATGTGTTAATTGTGTGGGTAAGTGGGATATCTTCTTAAAACGATCAATCTTCATTTTTATTCGCTCATAATTATTTTAATTTACTTCTTCGACAATTTTCCTTATTTCGTGATTATTCCCTGACATTTACGAACGATTAATAACACATCAAGAGCACAATCTAAAATGAAAGAAGTGGATGGGAAGAGATAGTGCAAGGAAGAGATTTTATATGTATACAAAATGGATGAGATCCATAAAACTGAAAACTGTAAAATTTGTATAAAACTGACGGTATAGTAAATGGACTTTTATATGTAAGTCAAACAGGAATTATACAGGTTATTTTAATAATCAACTTGTATATCAAGTCTACCGGTGATTCTTAATTTCTCCAGTTCTGTAACATGGTGCGTTATCATGTAACAGAAACCAACTTCCCGGTGCTTGATATTCGGGCCTCACACGAACGATCCTCTTCCACAAATGTTCCATAACACCCAGATAATATTCGCCATTAACATTTTGTCCCTGTGGAACGAATTCCCGAAGTATAATTCCTTTAGAATCGTAAAAGCAAATTAACATTGTCTTCTCTCGGGACTTCTGGAATCGCAATTTTTTTGATTTTGGAGAGCCTGGAGATTTCCACGTAGCACTTTGGCGCTTTGTTTGAGGTTCATACTTGAGGCACCAAGTCCCATCACTAGTTCCAATTGATTCCGGGAATGTACAGTTTCGTCTGGCTGTTTTGGTAAGATCCTCGCAATATTCAACGCGAGCAATTTGTTGCGCTTGCCCGTGATTTTGTGACACGGTGACGAAAGGTTCTGTCGCATTAAACGCTATAAGTTTACAATTCGTTGCTCAATTCCAATAATGATTGTTGTGTTTTGTAGGGGAGGTATACTGTTTTCAGATAACATGTTTTAATAGATGGCGTTAGTTTTTCTTAAATTTACAAAGTTCCGTTACTTTTCCGACATACTGTGTAAAGTATTATAATATGTTATATTATATTCTTATAATGAAATTATAGCTAGCGATGGTACTTTGGATAAAGTATTTATCCTTCTCCTCAAACTTAAATTTTCTTAAAAAAATGCTAAGAATTATTAACTGGTACACTTGGTATACATTTGAAAACTATTTACACGTTATGCAATTCACTTTTTGACTTTCTGAATTTATTTTGAAACACAACGTTGAAATATCAAAAAATATCCTCTCATAACACAAGGATTTAATGTAACTCGTTCGGTCACATGTTTGTTCTATGGAAAAATATTTCTATAGAGGTCGTGCGGTTTTCAAAGAAAAATACAGTACCGTAATCAAATTTCTTTTACTTTGTTTTTCTATCGAGATATAGACCTTTGATTTTTCGAGTGGAACCGCATTTTGTTCCACGTTAATCAATTCTTGAAAATATTCCGTGAAAAACCCGTTAAAAAATCAACGTTCCTGTAGAAACTGAAACAGTCGGGGAGACATTTCCATATGAAAATGTTTGATGAATAATTTGAAGTATCGGATGAATAAATTTTTGAAATATCTTATGAATAACCTTGTGAAATATCTGACTATTTAAATACTTTAAATACTTTTAAATATTTTATGAATAATTTGGCAGAAAATCTTTGAATAATTTTTAGAAATATAAATGCTTTTCTGAAATAATTTTTGAAGGAGTGAATTTCGTATATACTTCACATTAATAGTTTCTTTTTATTCAAAAGTAGAATATTTAGAAAATCAAACTATGCATACAAATATTATTTTTAAGAAAGAGCACTGTACTACTTGCATTTTTGTTAATTTTTGTTCATAACTTTTTTGATGAAAATATTTTCTTGTGTAACTTAATCTTTCGGAACATAATACAATTGTACATACATTTCCTGTGCAAAAATAATGAGTCTCGCAATCAGATATACAAAGTTCTTAAAAATACATATTTCAATTATTGTAAATATTTATTTCTAAACTTCAACTATTTTTTTCTCAAACTTTTTGTAATGTTTTATACAAAATCATTTAACAGACACAGAAAATAAGCAAGAATTTACCATGACCAAAAATAATAATAACATAATAAAAATTGACTGAATAAAAACTATACAGTTGCATTTAACAAATAAAATATGATTTTCGCATCTGAATAAAAGAGCAAAATAAATCCATTACATCAAAAATCTGTGAAAACCATGTAAATTTCACCAAGTATTATTTTAACCATATTTTCTCTCAATAAATAAAGTACGAATTTCACGAAGTCATTTCTATATTAAATTTCTTTTAAAAAAATGAATTCAACTTTCATGCTTCGTAAAGCAATGCATTATGTAAGACTGTCCAAGAATTTACCCTCGTGACAGTAGTCTTATCGTTCGTAGTAATGCCATTCAACAGAATGTTGAAAGAAAAAGAGGGAAAAGGTGAAATGGGTAAGCTAGACGTGATCCTTTATTTATGTTATCATTTCTATCTTGGCTGTTCTGTGCCACATCTTGTGACACATTGTTGCCTTCTGAACCACGGAAGTATTTTGTGTGGAGTATTGTTGTAACGGAAAGAAAATACGTTACTAACACAAGTTTATTTGCTATTTTGTATTGTGATTTTTTTTATAAACAGTTATTGTATCTTTGATAATAATTGGAGGAATAATGGAATAAATTAGAAAATATGTAGACACATATGTTAATATTACAAAATGCGTATGTTAATAATATAAATACATATGTTAATTTGACAATTTGGGAAATTTAGAACTAATAGGTTTGGGAAATTAGAAATTTGAAAGTTTAGAAATTAAAAAATATAAGGAATCGAAAATTTAGAAATTCGGAAATTTAGGAACTCAGAAATTTTGGAATTCGAAAGCTTAGAAATTCGGAAATTTGGGAACTCAGAAATTTTGCAATTCAAAAGCTTAGAAATTCGGAAATTTAGAAACCCGAAAATTTTGGAATTTGAAAATTTAGGAATTGCAATCTCAGAAATTTGAAAATCCAGAAATTAGGAAATTTGGAAATCAAAATTCAAGTATTTGTCAATCCAGGACATTGAAAGTTTACGAATTTTCAAGTTCATCAACTTTCAAACTTCTCAATTAATAAATACAAAAATTTCCAACTTCTCACATTCTACATATTAAAAAATTGATGAATCTAAATATTACTAAAAATTTTCAAATTTTATTAATTTCATTAAGTTTCAAAGTCTTCCAAATTTTATAAAACTTCAGATTCTAGTTCCAACAATTTTAAAATTCAATTTGCAACCACCCCTAATTTCTTCTACCCACAGTCCTGATTTTATCCACCAATAACAATAATCATAATATTTTTCAAATATTCATTGTTCCAGAATTTGGTACATGGGTCTCTGTTGGATACTAAGAGGTCTGAAGCGTCAGCAACAATTAACAGATCGTAGATCGCGATGGTTAAAAGAAAAATATCTTCAGCTGTATTTCGAAGAAAGCTGTTTCGAGCCAATGACAGCCGATGCGATAAGAGCTTTCGGTGGTCGCGACTGGTACATGACTGAAAGTATAGGCACCCTTTCGCCCACGTGTAGCAGCACTCGTAAACGAAATGTTAAAGGGAAGAAAACGAAATCCATTGGCAATATTCATGCATTAACAAAGGTTAGTATACACTATTATTAGGGATACCGAAAAGTAATCAAAATTTTGTTCGCTGGCGAAAAATATTTATTTACTAAAGAAATCTTAAATCAACAAAATAATTTCTATCACTTTCTAACGCTTTTTGCCAGCTTAAAGGCAATTGTTCCCTTCTTGAAGAAAGTCCTTCGATTTTTCATAGAAAAACTTTGAAATCATCGAAGAAATTTTGATTACTTTTCGGTACCCCTAATATATTACTTTATTATAACATTTTTATAAAAATTAATTATTAGGAGTCTTAAGAAAAAAATTGAATAGCTAAAAATCAAAAATAATAGAATTTAAGTAGTATGACAGAAATAAGTGATACTTCATACTGAATTATAAAATTGAAATTTTATTAACTCCTTCCCTTGCCATTTATTTATCAGATGCGTCAGTCAAGTAACTATTCAGGACTATAACATGAAAACGAAAAAAGAAAATTGAATTGTTCTGAGTGTTATATATTCAGGGATTCTTGATAATGCAACTTATGGTTGGACCTAAATTTCAAGTTGAAGAGTATTCAAAATTTGAGTAAGGTTTGTCACACTTGAGCTGTAAGTCAAGAGTGAGACTCGTCAAAGTTCAGGAGAGGTTAAAAAAATAAATGAAGATAAAACTTGTGCTTTGAATTGATATTTTATATTTGAATTTCCTTGAAAAAAAAAAAAGAAAAGATTTTATTTGTAGTCATCAAAATATAAATGCATTAATAAATGAAAATAATACCTGTGATCTGAATTGATATTTAAAAATCTAAATGTGATATCTAAATTCGATATTTGAATTTCCTCGAAAAAAATAGAGTAAAAGAACTTTGCAGTCATCAGAATGTAAATTCATAAATAAATGAAAATAATCTAAACCTGATATTTGAATTTCCCTGAAAAAAATACTTAATAAAAAGATTTTATATTCGTCAGAATGTAAATGCATAAATAAACATAATACTGATTAAAAAAAAAGAATCGACAAATTATTCATAATTCTTACATAATGCAAAAATTTCATCCATGAAAGAATAGAGGTAGAGAAAAGGTCAATACAATCAGTATACAGCGTGCTTCATAACAAATGAAGCTTTGTGCCAACTTTCCTTAGACACACGACACGAAGATAATGAAAAAAGTTCCCATCGCTTATGTGTACGTGTACGTCATCTTTAACTTCGCCGTTGAGTTCCACGTACTTTTCTATTTCAATAATTCACTGTGTGACCCTCATTTTTCAAAAGTATTTCGTATGCATGTAATATGAAGATATTCTTTTGTATAGGAGACATTTTTTATAAGCAAACGATCTGCGAATAAACTTTTTTAGTTAAAATGAATTGGACAAGTTTGTACGTTTATGGACATTTATTGATGAGGATTTGAGTAAATAATTTTCTTCAGTTGCTATCAAGTTCAATTACTTTTAAGTTTTTCTCAAATTTTTATCTGACGTTTTTCAAGTTTTTTTTTTATTTATGATACAGGCTATTTCATAATATGTATATGACTTTTTCAGTTTAGATCATTTTAATTTGGTTTAGAACTGAGTATAGGATGTATAGTTTTTCTTAAATTTTTATCTGACGTTCTTCAAGTTTCTTTTTTATTTATGATACAGGTTGTTTCATAATGTGTATATGACTTTTTCAGTTTGGATCATTTTAATTTGATTTAGAATTGCTTATGGGATATAGTTTTTCTTAAATTTTTATCTGACGTTTTTCAAGTTTCTTTTTCTTTATTTATGATACAGGCTGTGTCATAATATATATATGACTTTTTCAGTTTAGTTCATTTTACTTTGATTTTGAATTGAGTATGGGATACAAAAACAGTGAAAAAGTTCTAAATTCCAAACTCAGAATCAATATATCTAATTTGAACTTCTTTTAGCTTGGTTCACTTGCTCCCATATTTTGTGGAACGCTCTGTACAATGGTTTTGCACACATTATGCAAAAGAAACATATCGAGCTTTAGTACAGCTATGATACTGTATAATTTAGAATATACATACAATAATTATACTGTATAATGGTAATTTCTGTTTGATCTTGTATATGTTCGATATGTTATATAATACATAAAAAGAACTTTAAGGAAAATCATATTAAGATTGAAACAGAAAATTGGACAGAAATTTAATAGAAACTAGTCAGTGAAAATTCCTAAATTACTAATTGTAAGTTCAGAAATTTTCAAGTTACTAAGTTTATAAACTTCTAAATTATTAAGTGTAAAAATGTCTAAATTTCTGAATTACAAAATATGAAAATTTCCAAATTTCCAAATTTCTACATTACTGAATTAGTAAATTTCTGAATTTCTGAATTTCTGAATTTCTGAATTTCTGAATTTCTGAATCTCTGAATCTCTGAATCTCTGAATCTCTGAATCTCTGAACCTCTGAATTTCTGAAGTACTAAATTTAAAACCCTATAAATTATCAAATTTCTAAATATATAAATATCTAAGTTTCCAAATTTCTAAATTTCTAAATTTCTAAATTTCTAAATTTCTAAATTTCTAAATTTCTAAATTTCTAAATTTCTAAATTTCTAAATTTCTAAATTTCTAAATTTCTAAATTTCTAAATTTCTAAATTTCTAAATTTCTAAATTTCTAAATTTCTAAATTTCTAAATTTCTAAATTTCTAAATGAATTTCTAAATTAAATTTCTAAATTTCTAAATTTCTAAATTTCTAAATTTCTGAATTTCTAAATTTCTAACTTTGAAACCCTACAAATTATTAACTTAAAAAATGTCCAAATTACCAAACTTAAAAGTCCATAAATCACTAAGTTCAAAAATCTCTAAATGACTGAGATTGAAAATTTCTAATATCAGAAGTTTATACATTGAAGAGTTTGAATTTGTCTGAAAAATGTAAGAACGTATGAATTTGAACGTGCGAGGCTTCTTTGCCCTACATCGCTATTTTCCCTAGGGATGCTCATCGTGCTCGCCAGTGTACATGAGATATCAAGTGCTCATACATACTTAAATGGAAAGTTTAATTTGTCTGAAACGTTAGTAGAATGCAGAAACTACTACAATTTAGAAACAGATTGAGATAAAACAAATGTTTATAAATTCTTTTTATTATTATTTTACTTCTTTTTGTTGTTTGTGTGTATTAACATGCATTATCTATTCTTGTTACATTATGTTACACTTTGTGAAACTGTACGATATTTAAAATTTTAATCAAAGCTAAAATTGAAAGCAAAATTTAAAATCAAAGCAAAAATTAAAAGCAAAATTTAAAATTTCAATCAAAGCAGAAATTAAAAGCAAAATTTTAAATTTCAATTAAAGCGAAAATTGAGAACAAAAATTTTTATATTTTATACAACTCTATTTTCTATTATTTTCACTCAAAATTACAACTAATTCATTTCTTCTTGTATAATTATGTCATATAACATTATATTTCTTATATAATTATTTCATGTAACATTATATTCATTTCTTGTATAATTATCTAATTGCTCTCTATTTTGAGCAATCACAAAGTCACAGTTAATTGATTTTGTCGAATGAAGAGAAGTTCAGGAGTTAATTATTACACGTGTACATTAAAGGAATCTCATCAAGTAATGCAGTTGTTATCACGTTGTTCCCGAAGTCACAATGCATCGATTGCTATTGACTTGTCTAAAGTGTACTCCAATTTTCTACGAGAATTCTTTAATACGTAAAAACAGCGAACAGCTGCATTTTGTAAACTTGGTACAATTAATGTTCAATTTTTGTATGTACATCTTATGTTACTTTTATTATCGATTAATCAAATTTTGTAAATATTCAAAAAATTAATTTCTAATTTCTTTTATATATATGTTACAAAACTAGATTTTAGGATAAACTAGTTTTTCCTAGGCCAAACCAGTTCATGCGATAGGATTAACTAGTTTAGGATAAACTAGTTTTTCCTAGACCAAACCAGTTCATCCTATATGCTTAGTCTAGGCAAAACTAGTTTGTCCTAAAATCGGGTTTGGCCGGTAACATATATAACAATTAATTAAATATACGTTTTATTCGCTACTTGGTTTCAATAAAATATTAAACACAATTATTGACTTTACCCTATAAGATTAATAACATTGAATTACTGTATACCTTGTAGACACATTAATCAAATTAAACGTGAATTTAATTAAATTTAATTTACCATTTAATTAAATGTGAATTAAAATTAAATGTTCATATTCTTCACTAAAATATTAAACATAATTAAACTCTACAATACTAAGAATATTAAATTACTATATTTTACATACATTAATTAAATTAATCATCCTTATTGCTTCGTTCAATAAAATATCAAACATCACTGCTACTTTCACATTTCACCAAAATAATTTAAAATAATTTAGAGTTACATAATTTTCCGAATAAAATTAAATCGTTCGATAAATCTTTCTATAGAAGTACAATTTAATAAAATTTAACAAGTGTACAAAATATAACAAGATTAGCATATGATTTTATAGCTTCGAGTTACAAATCGTGCACGATAAATGGATGAGGTACTTAAATGAATTGCTCATGCAAATTCATCGTGCGCCGAGAAAATTTGAGTAGCGTTAACGAGTATGTTTTAATCAAGTAATTAACTGTTGAATTAGAACGTAGAATTTGGTTGTTTAACACAGGATTTGAGCCTAAAATATGACTCCTCGTTCACGGATGGAGGTTTATCAACGGCCCCTCTTCGGCATATTACGGGTAGCAGAGAATCTTTGACGAGAATCATACCAACATCCCCACGGTGTAGTAGAGATCGAGTTCCTCCACGGAGTCCTCCCGGTTGTGCCGAACGTATTATTAGTTCCAACTTGCCTTACTCCAGCTTCCAGAGGTAGGCATTTCAATAATTCTCAATCCAGAGACAAATATAAACAGAAATACGAAAGAATACTACATTAAATAACTGGAATGGAACTTTACAATCCTTTACCCTAAATAACTTTCATGTCTTTTAACTTTTTTTTAGTTTACTGATTATGATTCAATGTTATTTTTATACCATTTATTTATGCATGATAAGTTGCATAAAACGTTTTCTATATTACTAGTATTATGGTATTATAGCATTATAGTATTGGATACTAGTATTATAATATTAAATGCAATCACTTGTACTTCAAATCACAGAATCTTAAGATCAATTTTTCTTATTATTATATGACGTTGGTTTATTGATTTATGACTTTTTACGTTCACACTGATTTACACTGGTTCACATCAGTCTTCACCAATTTACACTGCTTAACATTAGTATATACTGATTCAAACTGGTTTACATTAGTTCACAGTGCTTTATGCCAGTGTACATTAATTCGTACCGATGTACACCGGTTAAAACTGGTTCCCAGCAGTTAGTTCACACTGAAATTAGTTAAAACTAGTTTACACTGGTTGACAATAATTCAAAAACTAATTACGTTAATTTACTGTAATAGAAAACATGTAACTTTAAATTAGTCACATCTCTACAATTTTCACTGCAGCCATATTTTTTGACTGACAACTTATTCATACGTCTTATAATAAAAATTTCGAGTAATTGTTACTTCAAGGACACTTTTATTTGGAACAAGATGTAATCTCAAGAAATATTCAATATTGATTCATTATATCTTTGTTCATTACTATTTACAGCGTTCATTGTTTTCATTCAATAAGTTTTGATAACAATAAATTTCTATTCCAGTTAAAAATCGATACCGATACCAAATTTAATCCCGATTCATAAATATCTTCAAGGACTGAGTAATAAAATTATTTTAATTCATGTCCAGCTCAGACCTACAATCTAAAGAACCTATGATACGAATATGCCCCTTCAATTTGTTTGTTACGTGACAGTTAAATAATGCCTTGTGTTTCCAATAATATCCTCGCAGCCTATTGTGTGTCACCAGAGACAAGGATAAGAATGGATCTGGAATGATAGGTGGTATGGAAGCAGCTTGGCAAGTGAAGGCTCGCACCACGACCATAATGTACGAAACTCAGTTAAACTTCGTCGAGTTCGTCGCATTGTTTCGATCTTTTAGTCTGAGGGCCAGAAAAGATCTGAGAGACTTATTTGGTCAACTGGCGATTACGTGTCGCAGCCAGAGTGACGGTTCCTTGAGAGACTTCAATGTACGGCCGCCTGTGTTAAGGCAAACCAGCGATGCAACCCCTCAACGAATAGGTCAGTTTGCATGAATAAATATTGTAATTTGATAAAAAAGAACCGTGACCCAATTTCAACTGTCGGATTTCCATAGTTTCATTACATACTCATTATCGATTGAGTTTCCAACTCTTTGCATTCGGAAGATGTCCCGATTCGATACGACATTTTGAAATTGGTGTTCTTTAGTTAACTCTAGTTAACATTCTTTAGTCAATGAGTGTTATATAGTAAGTCGGAAAAATAACGGAACTTTTTAAATAAAAAGAAAGTATTAGTTACTTTGCCAAAATTAATTTTTTTTATTCAAAATACATCCGCATCATACACCGCTGGGCTCACACAAGGTTAACATAGATTTTTTATATCGTTTGAATCGCTTCAAACACCCTTGTCACAGCTGCTTGGAACTGTGTAAGTGTCATAAAACGTTCCTTTTGTAGCTAATTTCAGTTTTGGAAAAAGTAAGTAATCACATGGGGATAAGTCAGAATTTGGAGGATGTTGGAACAGACTTGTTTTTTCGCCAAAAATTCACGAACAGCGATAGTTCACATGGTGCGTTACTATGCAACAGAAACCAACTTCCCGGCGCTCAATATTCGGGCCTCACACGAACGATTCTCTTCCACAAATGTTCCATAACACCCAGATAATATTTGCCATTAACATTTTGTCCCTGTGGAACGAATTCCCGAAGTATAATTCCTTTAGAATCGTAAAAGTAAATTAACATTGTCTTCTCTCGGGACTTCTGGAATCGCAATTTTTTTTATTTTGGAGAGCCTGGAGATTTCCACGTAGCACTTTGGCGCTTTGTTTGAGGTTCATACTTGAAGTACCAAGTCTCATCACTAGTTACAATTGATTCCAGGAATGTACAGTTTCGTCTGGCTGTTTTGATAAGATCCTCGCAATATTCAACGCGAGCAATTTGTTGCGCTTGCCCGTGATTTTGTGACACGGTGACGAAAGGTTCTGTCGCATTAAACGCTATAAGTTTACAATTCGTTGCTCGATTCCAATAATGATTGTTGTGTTTTGTAGGAGAGGTATACTGTTTTCAGATAACATGTTTTAATAGATGGCGTTAGTTTTCCTTAAATTTAAATAGTTCCGTTACTTTTCCGACATACTGTGTAAAGTATTATAATGTATTATATTATATTCTTATAATGGACAATGCAATTAATAATAATTTCGAAAGAATGCAATGTGAGATTTTATGAAAGTTTTTAGTAGAAATTATAACATTACACATGTTTCAAGAAAAACAGTAAATTGTTTAACAGTTTAAGTGTCTCTTCAACAGGTCTTTTAACGAGGAACAACTCCATTGACTGTCACGAATACAAAACTAGCAGTAATCTTCAAAAGAAGCAGGTTTTCGACGCAGTAGCCGCTGCCAGTATCGTTAACAATTGTTCCGGCGTCGACACCTCGAAGTCGCAAGTTATCACCCTGGCAACGTTCACTAAATTTTTGGAATCACGGCAACAGGAAAAATTGACTGACGAGGAAATCAAAGCACTTGTTAAGGTAAAAGAATTTCTCGAACTTCTACTTTTTCATGAAAAATGAAGCCTTGAAAGTTTACAGATTCATTAAGTTTTCTTCTTCCATATCTTCGTTTTGCTAAAGTATGCGGTTGCCTTTTAACGCTTTTAAAGAAGTTGCTGGCAATTACCCATTAATTAAACAAATAAGTTTCATCGTTTATTAAAAGTTCAGGTTTAAATATCCTTCATGAAAATCCGTGCTTAAGTGAAATGGGATAATGATGAATATACGTGTTGAATGTAAGACAAATACTCCTATTATAAATTTCACAGAAAGAAAAAATTATATGTTCATTTAATAAGGAGTTAACAGTTTGTCAAAGTTAAGTGTAACGAAATAAAGATTTACATCGATATCAATTTTGAATTGAGCGAAAAGTTGTGGATTAGCACTTTGATCAGCAACTTTTGGATTAGAATTTTAAGTTCACTAGAAAGGTTTAGATTTGAACCTTGAATTAAGATAAACATTTTTATTGGAACTTTGCACTGACCAATAGTTTTGGATTTACACTATTAGTTAATTAAAAAATTTTTTATTTAAGCCTTAATGTAACCTATACGTTTTTTATTAGAACCTTGAGTGACCAAGTAGTGTTGGATTTGAACTTTGAATTAACTACAAAAGTTTTTATTTAAACCTTAAATTAACCTACAAATTTTTTATTAGAACCTTGAAGTCACCAAATAGTTGGATTTGAATTTTGAGTTAACTAAAAAATTCTGGACATAAACCTTGAATTAACCTAAAAATCTTAACCTAGAATTTCGAACTAACTAAACAGTTTTGTATCAGAACTTTGAATTGATCAAAAAGTCTTAAACTTCACCTTTGTGTTAACTAAGAAGTTTTGCATTCGAACCTAAGTTTCACATTTTTCCCGAAGTACACTAAAAATGTAAAAATGATGCTTTCTCAATTTTCCGATTGAACATATTCCTCAATCAGTTGAATCTTGAACGTGTAATAATTAGGGGAGCACGCAGTTATCCATAGGTTATGGTTTTGCATTACAATGTGCATACAAAGCTATAGGGAGTAACACAATCAAGCGGGACGATTTGCTCTGATTTCAGCGACACGAACCGGACCCAGCACTACGTACACAATGGTGTTTGTCTTTCGAGGGCTTTGCACGGTACATGATGGACAAGGACAATTATGCTTTCCCAAACGAGTATGCGACACCGTCCGAGACTGAAATGCAGCAGCCATTGTCCCAGTATTACATCGCCAGCTCCCATAACACTTATTTAACTGGTCATCAGCTCAAAGGAGAATCTTCGGTGCAGCTGTACTCTCAGGTGACCATAACCATTCTTTCCACGTGCTATGGCTGCATAACTCTTTCAAGAAGTTTTGTAGCGATCTCATTTAGTCTACTGCAAATTCAAAATTGATCCTTTTATTATTTTAAAAATTACTTTCACTATTATTTCAATTTTCACTTTTATGTTTGCTTAAAAAATTATTGTCATAAGCTTTAGTGTGATTATTAAAATTACATGGCACGCGAAAAGCAGCAGGAGACCAACTATCACTTTTAGGAGGTTTTTAGTTTACATTTAGTTGCAATCTCTTAATCTCCTTGATTTTTCCTGTGAATATTGTTGACTTTTGCTATCGATGTGGATTTATATTTTTTAATTGTCAAATATTTGACTTAGTTAAATATATAAATTTCTTAAGAGTTAGTGAAATTGAACTTGTGTCGTTTTGAAAATCATCGAATTTTATCAACATTTTAATTAAAGACACTGTAATTGAAATTGTAATGTCTCAAATTATATTAAAATTGTTATAATTCCTATAGAAGATATTTCTTTCGTAAAATTTTGAAGTGTCTGTAGAAATTGGCGACATAATGCGAGTACTTCAAATAATCTCAAGTATGTACGATTTCTAGGTGCTACAAACGGGGTGTAGATGTGTGGAACTCGATTGCTGGGATGGCGATGATGGGTCTCCTGTTATTTACCATGGTCACACCTTTACTACGAAGATTCCATTTCGCTCGGTCGTCGAAGCGATTGATAGAAGCGCTTTCGTGAGCTCTCCATATCCTGTGATTCTGTCAATTGAGAATCATTGCTCTCAGAGTCAACAGGCTCGAATGGCCCAAATATTTCAAGTACGTCATATTCTGTTGAACGTTTCAAATATCCTGTTAATTCCTTATTGCATGGCTTCTTTGATTTCGAGAAGGTACACATTCTTGAACTCTCAGAAGTATAGTAATAAACAAGTAAATAATTGCAATATAACATAATGGACAAATGGAAATAACATAATAAATGAACAAATAATTATAATATAATAATATAAAATGATGGACAAATAAAAATAATATAATAAATGAACAAATAATTACAATATAAAATAATGTACAAATAAAAATAATATAAAAAATGAATAAATAATTACAATATAAAATAATGGTCAAATGAAAATAATATAAAAAATGAATAAATAATTACAATATAAAATATTGTTCAAATAAAAATAATATAATAAATGAATAAATAATTACAATATAAAATAAGGAACAAATAAAAATAATGTAATAAATGAATAAATAATTACAATATGAAACAATGAACAAATAAAAATAATATAAAAAAATGAATAAATGATTACAATATAAAATAATGGACTAATGAAAATAATATAATAAATGAGCAAATAATTACAATATAAAATAACGGAGAAATAAAAATAATATGAAAACGAATAAATAATAATTAAAATATATGATCATAAACAAATATAATATAATAGTCAAATCTTACTAATAAATTGATTTCAATAAAATTGCATAAAATTGCACATTTGCAGGGTTGTTTGAGAAAGGAGAAATTGTTGAAAACTCTCAATGAACATTTCTTCTTTCTATTTGAAAAAATTATTTATAATTTGTAAGATAAAATTGTATCCTTTAAAATGAATCTGTAATGTAAAAGTTCGTATGGACAGATGTGTTTAGCATGAAATGCAAAGTATTAAAAATAATTTAACATAAGCTGGTATACATCTTCCTACTTTACAGTAAATCTTCAATTCATTACTCGTTCCCAACTCCGTTTTACACGTACACACCCGAAACCACGAATTAATTGCACAGATCCACCAAAAATGTCGGTTAATTACTTACATGTATACGTTTACACTCGCAATTTATGTGATTATAAAATAGATGCTCATTAATTGTAGTCACGAACCAGAACAAGCGATGTTTACAGATCTGCGTGATGTTTCATTAATTAACTATACATATATGTTTATAATTTTGATTACCTCGGTAACTAAGTTCGACTATTCCAACTATGCAAATATGTAACGATCCAAATGTGCAAAACATGGTTTAACAATTTCCTAACCAGCTATTCATGCAAACTTATAAATATTTATTTTGTTTAAGTACGTGAATGTATTATTTGCTGATATCATTGTAATAATAAATAGAAGGATGTGTTTCAAATTTTAAAATGAATTTTACTGCAAATAATCTTTTGCGTCTTTTCAAATTTAAAACTCATTTATGTAGATGTGTTTTGCAATCCCTTTCAGTAAAATAAAAATAAGGAAAATTAAATCATATAAATTTCTATACAATTTTTAAAATCGTTGTTTAATATGAATTTCAAATTTATTTAAAATTTCAAGTAAATATTGAAATAAGTATTTACAGAAAAATTAAGATTGGAAAACTTTAATTATATTAGCATTAAGCTGACATGAGTTTATTAACCCCTTGCACTATTTTGACGTACTTCAACGTGACGCACTCATACTTCAACTGTGATAAATTTTACTTACGAATTTTTAATACACTTCAATTTATAGTTCAAATCCAATTATTTACATAGACAACTATTAATACGATATTGACATAATATTTCAACTTTCTCTATCTGTTTTAATATTATAACTGCGTTGACTGACCTGACAAATAAATCATAGTGCAAGGGTTTAAAAAAATGAAGAAATAAGTACGAAAGAAAAAAATGTTACTGCTATTGTTTCAGTCCGTTTTCGGAGAAAAGCTCGTAACGAAATTTCTTTTCGAGAGCGACTTCAGTGACGATCCTCAACTTCCGTCTCCATCGCAGTTGCGCTATAGAATATTGATAAAAAATAAGAAACTGGTAGTGGATCCTGCTGGTCCTTTGGCACATGCTCCCCTGAGTCATCGTGGAAAAATGCTGATGTCGGATCGTGCATCATCTATGAAACAAATGCGCACTGACGTAAACAGCGCATCCGTTGTTGAATATTTCAGCGAGGACGAAGACGATGAAGAAGATGACGACGAAGACGACAACATCGACGGTAACTATTTTTTATCACAAAAATCTCTTTGAACATATCTTACGATCGTATCAAAGAAACCGTTTTTAAAATGTCTGACAGAAATTGACATACAAAAATATTTCAGCTACTTTGAAAATTTCAAGAGAATTGCATTAAAAAGATGATTGAATCTTTTATAAAAATCTTTAATACCAAACATTTCAAAATTACATTTGGGACATCAATTATGTTAGAAGTTTAAAAAATTAAAACGCTTTTTCACGCTTTAACTGTAGCTTTTATAAAAGTTAATCCTTCTACTTATAATGCGCTGATTTCTCACTTAATAAAGAAACAACACGTCCAGAAAAATGCACTATCCAAGTTTACAGTTGTCCTAAGAAAGTTAAAACTGTTGTTCTTAATCTTTTTTAAGCTACAGCTTAACCCAAATACGCGATCCTGTTATTTCATCCGTTCTAATTGCTTCTTATCTCTTCATTTATTGATCGCAAACTTCAATTATGTCCTTTGCAAACAGTAGAAAGCAATTTTGCTGCACTTTAATTAATCCGTATACACATACACTATCCGATGTGACCGACTTTTCACAAATTTGTGTGTGTATTCGCTGTAAATACTTAACATCTGATAAAAACTTCAATTGCCTCTATTGATTCTTTCGGTAATACCTGTTAGTGGCTAAATATTTGAAGACTCGGTCTCATTACCTCTCGTATTCCTTCTATTTCGAAAATATTGAGACTTCTGATAAAAGTTTAAAACCCTCTGAAATATTTGGCTTCATTAATTCTCAAGCTTATTTTGAATGAAATAGGAAGGGCTTCTGAAGGATTTTTAACGATTAAAATACTAATACAAAGTTAGATATCAGTTAACGTAAAAGTACTAATGTAAAAATAGTTAAGTGTCACTTAAATAGTTAAGTGTCCTGTTTGTCTAAAACTCGTTACATAAATTTTTAAAAAACCACCTAGAAGAATTCCTTATACCTTGACAAAGAACCACAACCAAATTGATTAACATTGCAATGTACAAGTGCCAAAGTTAGGATAATCCTTCTGTATATCAGCGAAGTTTGGTCATTGAACCGAGATACTAATTACTAAATTAACGACGAATCTGATACGAAGCTTTTACCTTTCAGATAACTCGATTTCCAGTTACGAAAGGTACTTGGGTGGAACGCAGGTGCCGCATGGCCGATTAAAGTCGGATTCAGCAGTCGACGATAAATCACAGAAGCAAAGTAGCCAAATTGCGAAGGAACTCTCAGACTTGGTGATCTACTTGCAAGCCATTAAGTTCCGTGGATTAAACACGACGCCAGGAACGGTGACAACCGGAAAAGCAAGACATCAACCGCATAGCGGACCTGTTCAGAGGCACAGCATCGCCGGAATTGGAGCTACCAGCATCGGTGCACCTTCAGGATCACCGCAATCTCTGTCAACGTCAGCGTCGCTTGCGAGTGGCGGCAGCAATATTGAGAACCTCTTCAGGTACAATTTGCAGTAAAACGAAGTCATTTAACAAACGCAACATTATCTTATAAATGAACATCTTTCAGATCCACTCGTGGAGTTCCAGCTTGCTTCCAGTGCTCTTCGTTGAATGAAAGTACAGCCAAGAAAATCTGTAGGAAACAACCTCTGGGAGTTGTCGCTCACGCTGAGACCCAGCTGATTCGAACATATCCAGCTGGAATGCGCATAGACTCGACGAACTTCAATCCTGTAATATTTTGGGCCTTTGGGATTCAAATGGTTGCGCTGAATTACCAAACCGACGATGCTGGGTTGAACTTGAACGCTGCTATGTTCGAGCAGAATGGACAATGTGGATATGTTAGGAAACCTTCGGTCATGTGGGACAAAGGACATATGATGTACAGGTACGAAATTTCTGAATAAACTCCTGCTTTATTGTAGCTATAAACTATTTGAATCACACTGTACTTTATTTGGTATTCTACTTCTGTTTGTAAACATGTATTTTGAACTGATATTTCCAGACGTTTCAACCCTTGGGACAAGGAGTTTGATGGACTGCACTCGGCGCACTTGGCACTCTCAATTATTTCCGGCCAGTACGTTTCCCCGACAAATTTCGTCGCCAGCACCTACGTTGAGATCGAGCTGGTCGGCATTCCGATCGATTGTGCCAAGCACAAGACGAAAGTGATGCCAAACAACGCGCTGAATCCGATCTGGAACGAGAAGTTCTGTTTCCAAGTGATGTTCAAGGATCTCGCCTTCCTCCGCTTCGGGATCGTTGAAGCGAGCTCCCACCACCTGATCGCTCAAAGAGTGATACCGTTAAAGTGTCTAAGACCCGGCTACAGACACGTGCGTTTGCGTTCGTGCAAAAATAAACCGCTAGCACTCTCGGCGCTCTTCATCTACTCTCGCCTAGAAGAGGAGAGCCTCGATTACAACACCTGCTGCCGCGACCACAAGGAGTCATCCAAACGTCCATCATCTGGAAAGGAGCCGGAGAAACTGACCACCGTGGACTCCGGCCTAGGCGGTGTAACCTTGAAGAGAAGAATGTTCTTCCTGATGGTTTATCACGTGATACCCGACGAGCCGTACACCATCTTAAAGGTGACCCAGGAGAGTACAACACAGGAGGTGATGTTACAAGCTCTTCAGAAGGCAGGAATCTCTCCAGACCGCGTAGACGAGTACATCCTCGTCGAAGAAGTCTCGCGCGGCTGGGAAAAACGAGACAGAGAAGAGTTACCGACCCAGCGTGTTTTGGACCCGACAGAACATCCTCTGCAGGCGCAAGCGTTGTGGAAAGGTCAAGGACGTTTCTTGCTGAAGAGAGTGGGCGACGACCCCAGCAGCAGAGCCTGGTTAGCTTCCATCAGGAGCACAGCCGGTCACTCCAAACTCGATTCCGAGAGAGACACGTCCACACACATTTGGGACGAGGCTGACACCTTCCTGGTTTGCATCTACAACGTTTCACCGGACATACCGTACGCGATACTACGTGTACCCGTCAGCAGTTCCGCTCAGGACGTCCTGGCCCAGGCTCTGGTGAAGGCTAGGCGAATGGAGGATCCCATGAAGTTCGCTTTGGTCGAGGAACTCGAATGGGGAGGCACAGGAGCGGTTGGTAGCGGCAATCGTCAGCTGAGAGTGTTACGCGACGACGAGAACGTTTACAGCACCCAAGCTTTCTGGAAAACGCTCGGAAGATTCATTCTGAGGGAAAGAGAGCAGGCGATACCGAGACGACATTTGTTGCCAGCTACTTTGGATAGGCTCAGCAAAGGATTCTCCGTGGGGAGATCGGTTTCCTTGCCGGGGTCCAGCAAGGAGAAGGTACCTGTTTCGGAAGCGCTTTCTGATCCCACGTCCAGAGGACTCAGACATCGTCTGCTGATGTCTGGTCGCAGAAGAGAAGTCCATTCCGATGGAGAGGACACGCGCGAGTCCGACATTCTGAACGCAGCCATCCACTTGAAGAAGGTGTCTCTGCGGAAGTTGAGGATGTGGAAGTCATAGTGGCAGTCCCGGGCGACGTCGATATCATCGATCTTCGCCACTCGGAGAAATCAGTCATAAATGACATGCAATCGAGATACAGGCAAAATCACGTTGCGAAAGCTCGGGGAAACGAAGATGTCGCTGAGATGTTACACCGATGGTCGACCCTGAAATGTTTTGGCATAAGTATACAAAAAAACGCCTAACTCGACACTGCTTAAATACGTATCATCTTTTAACTTGTCGTTCGAAAGCAAACCGATGTTAGCGAATAGATCGGTTGAGACGGAGTTTGATTGGACGTAAAATCGTGGAACACGCGTTTCAGCTTCGAGAAAGTTACGTTCAAACAATCCTGTTAATACCATTTCAAATTACATCGTTATTTCGTGCGATCAAATTTGGATCAAATCATATACGCTGTTATGTGTACAATTGTTTGCATCTTCAGATAATTTCATTTTAAAAGGCATCTTTACTGTAGTGTGATCTCTGGGTCGTTTTCCAGTCATTTAATGTACAAATGAAGATTTTATATGCGATCGGAGAAAATCAGTTCCTTTAGAAACTTGGAGTTTTTTAATCTGGTTGCAAGGTGACCCTCGAATGTACAAAGTCTCTTTAATTGTAGATATTAATGCCATCAGTCATAGCTTTTTTGTGGAGGCTTAGCAGACTCTTAAATAGTCATATTGGCAAATTTCTGAATTCCTGAATGCCCAAATTCCAAAATTCTAAAATTTCTATATTTCTAAATCTCTTGATTGAATTTCTAAATTTTCAAATTTCCAAATTTTTGAATTCTCGAATTCCCAAATTCTTGATAGTTCAATCTGTCAAATTATAAAAATTCCTACTCTTCCAAATTCTCAAATCTCCAAATCCCAAAATTTCGACTCCCCAAAATTATGAATCTTCCAATTCCAAAATTTCGAAATTTCGACTCCCCAAAATTATAAATCCCCAAATTCCAAAATTTTCAAATTTTAATTCCCCAAAAATTAAAAATCCCCAAATTCCCAAATCTTGAGATCTCAAACTCCCCAATTCCAAATCCTCAAATTTCTAAACTTCCCAATTTTCAAATTTCAAAATCCCCATAGCCCAAAATTTCCAAACACCAAATTAAATTCTCAAATAAAAATTCTACAAATATTTAAATTTAATCTCTCAAAATATTAACCCCTTAACAAACTTAAGAATACGCATAAATACACTTATATCACTTTGTAAACAATTTCACCAAAATTCGAGGGTCACATTTTTCAAAGAACGCAAAAACTAGTCTTTTAATCGCAAACTTCAGTTCGATTAAATTCTTTTCGTTATACATTGACACAAGCTTATTTTCTATATTTTTTTATACACATATACATACTTTTCAATCTAAACGATATATTTTAATATATGTATACATATTTATATATATTTAACGCATTTTATTAAACCGTATACAAAATCATACAAGGGCTTCAATATGTTCAGAATAGTCGATTCATTTTAGTTCGAAGACGAAGCCAAATATCAATTTCTCGTATAAATGTAACTTACAGCGGGACCTGATTCCTTTTTATAAACACTTACTTGTCCTTCGAGTGATTAATGCTTGGACTTTAAGTACCTGACTCGTCTGTGAAAATTTCCCGTTTATTCTACTGAAATTTCTGCCAATCATGCAGTCATAAATATTACATCAATTTATTCAATAAAAAAATTTCAAATCGAAACTTACAAAATTTATTTTTAATTGTACCTAAAGTTGACAATAACGGTGACGTGCTAACATTTCGTATGTCTTTTATTTTCGTATGCCATATTATTTAATATTATTTATACTGCATGATTTTTCCTCGCAGAAAGTAGTAATCGCAAAATGGAGAATTATATGCATTTACTGGAGAAAGGCGACGTCACGAGTTGGCGTTTGAGGTTATGTTTGGAGGAGCCATTGGTCACAAAGATGGCCGCCGTGTGTGGAGCTTCTTTTACTTTGGACCTCACGCGCCAACTCGTGGGTTATCTGTTCTTGAAAGAAAAAGATGTACTTAAAAAAATGGTAAAATTATTGGTAAAATTAATGGTAAAATGGTAAAAGAAATGCAAGAAATCGAAAAGAAAAATTTCTCTGACGGCTTCCATTTCTTCGATCAATGATTTCAGCACAAATCCCGTTAGAAACCCGAATATAAAGCTTCCCAAATCGTGAAAGATCGAACGAACACGTCTAGTCAAGCTCTATCATCGATAAAATGCTTAAAGATATACAGTAAGCGGCTCTCCGATTGCCAACTTACTAGAGTGTATCGAACTCGTCCATAATCGAAGCAGTATTTTAACGAGGTTATAGGACAAAGTTCTGAGTTAAAGTTAGTCTGTTACTTGTTGCCGAGGATCTTTAATAAGAATGATAAAAAAGACAACACTATTTCCGTAATAACCGCGTAAACTGAACGTGAATTCTAGTCCACTGTATACTATACAGAGATTTATTTATTATTCGTTTGTTACGAGCGCGGGCAATGTTTGTACATATTATCTTCTCCGTTGTTGTATCAGACCTTCTCCGACAAGAGATATTTAACGCGTGAAGTCTTGCTATCATATTTATTATATATTGTTGATAATGGGAAAAGGAAAATAGTAGGTCAATGTTACTTTTACAGTCGCTATCCAATTTATCCCTTTGGACTGTTGAACGAGTATACTTGTAGATTATAAATACGAGACCAAGGAGTGTCGATCGTTTCTTCGCTTTTTAAACACGTTCCGATCGGTTGAGGACAGTGCACTATTTAATCGGTTTCGATTCTTTTATCGGAGCCTTAAGCCTAATTTTCACAAAGTAATTCTGTGTACAAATGGTACGAATGATCAGAGAGAGATTTGAGGAAATCTGGCGTAGGTCAACGACGTCACGAATGAGTTACCCTTTGTCTTCCACCTGGATTTCTGAATTAAACATTTAGAAATTTAGAATGCATTTCGGTTGTAAAAAAGATGTTGAGTTTTGGATTTGTGCATTGAATAGTGAATATGGATCTTCTGGGGAGTATTGGAGGAATGAGAAAAGTATAGATCGTGAATATTTATGGGAATTTAGCAGTACATTTCTGGATGCAAATAGTTGGAGATTTAGGTTTTGAGTTATTAGGTTTTTGGAATCAGAAGATTTTTAAGGTTGTTTTGGATGGGTTTGAAGACTTTTAAGGTTGGGAATTTAGAAATATAGGAATTTGGGAATCTGAAGATTTGGGAGTTTTGAGAGTTCAGGATTTAAGGGACACTTGGGAGTTGAGGAAGTGTAGGATTTAGAGAATTGAGAAAGTGAAACATTGAGAATTTGAGAATATAAGGATTTAAAAATTTGAGAATATGAAAATATGGAAATTTGAAAATTCGAGAATTTGAGAATATAAGAATTCAACAGTTTAAGAATTTGCAAATTTGGGAATTTAAAAATTTAGGAATTTAGGAATTTGAGAATTCGAGAATGTAGGAATTTGAGAATTTAGGAATTTAAGAACATAGCAATTTAGGAATTTAGAAAATTAGAAGTTTGGGAATTTAGGAATGTGCACATTTAGAAATCTGGAAATTTAGGAATTTGAAAATTTAGGAATTCATAAATTTAGGAATTTGAAAGTTTAGGAACTTAGAAATGTAGAAATTTAAAAATATAGTAATTTGGAAATGTAGTAATTCAGAAATCTAGAAATGTAGAAATTTAGAAAATCATATATTTAGAAATTTAGAATTTTAGAAATTCAAATATTTAGAAATCAGATATTTAGAAATTTAGAACTTTAGAAATTCAAATATTTAGAAATGTAGAAATTTAGAAATTTAGAAATCTGGGAATTTTAAGATTTTGGAATTGGGAAATTTTCTGTTTAGTTTAGATTCTTACAAACATATTACAAAGTTTCTAAATGAAAAAATTTGAAGGTTTATAAATTTAAAAATTTATTTAATTTTACTCGATAAATATTCACGATCTTTAGTACATAGTGAATGTATTATACAAATTTTTTCCCCTGTATCACCATATTTTTCAGGAAATTCTACTTTGCTCTTCAATGTACTGTAAACCATGCAAATATTTGTATCCTTTCATTCGTTAGCTCTACATACATCTTTTCTAATTTAGAAATTTAAGAATATGGAAATTTTTAAGTGAAAAAATTAAAAAATTCAAATGTAACTTCTAAAAGATCAATTTAACACTATTTGATAACAAACAGTAATCTTGTATAAAATATCCAAAAACTACTTTGGTCATTTATGTCATCATAAATAATCCCAGCTATTAATTAAAAGGATATAAATACTTTTACAGCTCACTGTTTTACTTGCTCTTGCTTTAAATCAAATACAATTGTATTTGGATCAAATATATCAAAAATTTGTAAAGTTTTTACCAAAAATTTATCCAACGTATCTAACACTATATTTCAAAATAAAATACAATTGCAACAATTACATATCTAAGATCACAGTATCACCCCCAATTGTATTATTAAACCCAACTATTTTAAAAACATCAATTTTTAACCACAATTTCAATAAATCTATAAAAATAGATTCTAAAAAACGAATTCGTGACGTTCTTGAGCTCCATAGTATATTTTTGAATACCACTTTCTCCATCATCGTTTTCCCCATTTCTTCAAATACATACATATCCTAGGACAAGCTATGGTATAAACAAATTCAACTGGAAATGAAAATGAAGTTGACCAAGTGGGTACAAACAAGATTTGCTCAAAAGTTAAAATCAAGAATTGGTGACTGAAAACAAATCAACCACAAATATCTTTCTTAATTTTATATGAAGACGTGACTTAAAACAGTTAATAACATTTTTAAAAAATGACTTGTCCACGTAATTTGTTGCAAAATGTAATGATGATTGAAAACCTCAAAACGATTGAATTCTTTGGGTTTGTTGTATTTAATATCATAACAATTTTGTTTGTTACAACAGTTATAACACAAATAAGTTTCATAAATATATAATGTCACATAATATTGCATCAATTTTTTACATATAACAAGATTTATTTTAATACTATTAATTTATTTTAATAATTATTGTAAGGTCTAAGTACTATATTTTTTACAAATTTGTAACAAATTCTTAAATAACTTGAAAATACTCTTGGTTGAGTTAATCATAACACGTACTAGAATTGTACGAAAAAATTTTAGGTTATGTTGACGAGTTAACTGACTTCATAATAAACTTTTTAAATATACTTTGCTATTAGTGTAAAATATCAAATGTATCATTATGTGTAAGAAGTATATTTATAAATAGATTTATGATTTTCAACCAAATTTATTTATTATTATTAAAAGAAAACCATCTCAGTTTACGAAATAATTCACAACAAATCAATCTAATTACGTTTGCAACCAATGTGGTTAAAAGAAAGATTTCATTTCCCTTACCTCTAAAGAAAATAAAAGATACAACTATTTAATTGTGTGTACATAAATCAACTATCGCAAATTTTATATCATACGCACTAGACTTTAATACTTATAAAAGCTTCCGATCATGCAGCTTCACTATATTGTCTTTCCTACT